CTGGTTACTTTCGGGGCTTGCGCAAGTAGAAATCCAATGAACATGAAGCATTACTACCGATAGATTATGGAGGAGTTGATGATCTCTATTTTTGTCTGGCTTGTTCAATGAAATAGTGTTAGGGCTTTTGTTTGAAGTAAATTTGGCTGCTTTCATGATGTATTTGGTTCTGATTAGGCTTTTTGAGTGAGTAACAGAAGTTAAATCGTTAATTGTCTTTTTGTCTCCAGCATATTTATCTTGCTCCACATATTTTCAAATAATTCATCTGAAATACAAAACAAAAATCTTTCATAATCTTTGATCTGAAAGCACCAGTTTCAAATGACGAAATCTCACATAAGCGGGAGCAACTTCTAGAGGGAAAAGGCGCTGGTAAGCAATAAAAAATTTCAGCAAGTGAGGATCAATATCCTTCCAACTTGCTAATACATAATAAGGACTCGGACACAGAAACGCCCTTTGAGGATTGGATGACTATTTCTCTCCCCTCCAAAAGAACCCCAATTTTGAGCCAAAACGCTGGGTAAAGGAAAGAAAAGTAAAGTAGCAATGATCAAGAGAATCAGTTGCCTCTGAAGTTCTATTCTGTCCTTGTCGGTTTCTATGACACTTTGGCCCTTGTTTGGTTTTTGATGAGGCTGCCATTGGGAACGCACTCTAGATCATCTGCAAGACGCTTGAAACGTGGAATATCTAAACCATTATATTTATTTTCGTGCTGCTTCATCAAACTTACAAGTTCATGTAAGCAAATCATTTCCTAATGAACATCAACACATATGGATAAGATAGCGGAAGAGACAGATTATTATTTAGCAGCAATATATATATACAGAATAACGAACTGATATTCGTTACATTATCCAACATGGATTGATCTCAAATGATGTTTTGATTAACCAGCACATGATTCCATCTCTCATAAAACACAGATCGAACACAAGGAAGAAACCTCTCTAAGCAAATTCTTAACGCTCTCAGACCAGTTCTTGTTCTTGACGGCGGTGTCCGCAAGATGTTCAGTGCTGTCCAACCACTTCATCAAAATCTTGGCAATCTTAGTCCTATTGGAAGGAGTTTTAATTGCTGAAGTACGGAATTCTGAGTTTGAGTTGTAAATTCCATGATCCAGCCCCACTCGTACTATATAATCCTACTCTGCTCTTACCCTCTAATGACTTCGGCCTCTTTAGTTTCTTGGCCCAACTTCATAAAGTCTCATATAAATAATCCTGGGAATGATCATCAAAATTTATTTGTCGAGATTTAATAACTGCCATTATAATAATTATAATAGATAAAGTTTAAACTAAGTCATCATGTGTGCAGTGAACTATTCGTAATTCGTCTTGAACTAGTATATAATGGGATATTAATATTAATAGCCTAAGGAAGAACCCAATTTCAAAAGACTAGTCAATATCAACATGTGATTAGTATAAGCCTAAAGAGAGAGTTTAATCTCAAAAGATTAGCCTATTAGGGGGAGTGCCTCTTGAACTTATAAACCCCACAACACATGTAAAACTTCTCAATGTGTGACTCATAACAGAGTACCCTCCTCAAGGACCGATGTTACGGCACATTACTCGGCCTCTTGCCAGTCAGAACCCTCAGTGTATAGCCCTCTCCAGCTGGTTGACTCTAAAAAAAGTACCAATATGATGAGCATGAGCTCAAGGGGAGAGCCCAATTTTAAAAGACTAGCTTATTAGAGAGAGAGCTCCTTGGACTTATAAACTATACAATACTTGTGAGATTCTCCAATGTAGGGCTAGTACTGGGAATACGGGCCGGGTCAGCCCTGTAGGGCCAGAATTCCAGGAATATCCCATTTTGCTAGGCTCGGCCCTCAAGTTGACGGGTTTAAGGCTGGCTTATGGGCTGTTGACCTGTTTAAAGCGGAAAAAAAATGCAATTTTTGATCATTTGTACATTTTTATTAAAAAAAATAAAGCTATAAAATTATTAATAAAAGGCATAAATATGAATAAAATTAAGTCACATACACAAAATTTCATTATATCTAAACATCTAAGAGCATCTAAAACATTCATCAATAAGATAACATCTAAAAGTTTCATCAATAGTGTTAGTGTGCAATCGATAAATACTATTATCAATTTTTTGAAACTTTGTCATCACTATCATCAATTGTGAGTGTACTTTTTTTAGTGGCAAAAATATCAATTTTTTCTTCTTCATAGAAATTTCATTTTTAAATTTTGCAGTCTAGCTAGTATTTTTTTACTTTAGTTTGAGATACATTATTGTTGTATTTCTAATTCAAATTATAGAATCATAAGTTATATCAGTATAAAAATACTCTTTTATGAAATATATATAATTTAAAAATATCAACACTGACAAATCCTAATTTTATATTGATTTTTCATATCTTATTTGAGGATTTTATCACATTTATTGAGCTTAATTGCATTTATTATGATTAATTTGAATTAAATGTAATTTGATGAAAATACTGCTAAAAAGAGCAAAAATATCATATTTTTATGATTTATTTTAACTGATTGATTTTTTAAGAATATTTGATATTATATTATCTTGGGTTTTATTTAGGAAAATTAAATGAGAAGCTAAAAGTGAAAAAGACAATTGAGGGCCTAAAGAATTGCAAAGAAGGACTGAATGAAGTTCACCGTTTTGGGGGAGAAACCTAGGGCATTTGATTGAATCTTCATCCTTCGTGAGTGGGGAGCTGGAAGCAGGACGGCGGCAAGGTCTTTATTAGCATCCCTTATATATATGACCACGTGCATACATCCACAGGGGGCGACCATATATCACACACTCATTAACCATCCTTCATCATCTTCCTGACTCACCGCACAACTCATCTTCACACCCAACCACCATCTAGCACCCCCATCGATTACTTTCATCATCAACGCCAACTTCCTCTTCTTCCACCCATGGCTGCCGTGAGTGTGAAATCTGTGTTAGCAGTCTTTAGATTCATGCGTAGCTAATTTCATCAAGCTTATTGGAGATGGAGGATTGGGTTTGAGCTTCATAGTTAATTAGGGAAGTTTTTCTGTTTCAATTCCTTTAATTTACTTGAGTAATGGATTTTCTGAGTTAGGATTGATATTATTTAATTAAATTTTCTGAGATTACTAGTTGTAATTCTTAGTTTGGAATTGAATTTTTGTGATTGGGATTAAATTCTGCAGTTTGAGATTTATATATTTACATCCAGTTTAATGTTTTATGTGATTATGTTATTCTTTCATAGTTTGGATGAATTTTATAATTGTATGGTACTTGTTGAATATCTCAAGTTGAGTGTTCTCTGCATAGAAGTCCAAATTGTATTAATCTAATCCTAATTGCACACTAATCGGTTTTCAATGGTATTTTTAATTTGTGGTTGTAGTTAGAGTTCTAGGACATCCATTAATTAAGATTACTTGACTTAATCAATGATTAAGGTTTTGATTTTAAATTAGTGAACAAAATAACTCCTAGATCATTTTGAGCAAGGATAACCCAATTTCCATTTTTCAAGAAGCATAATCTCATATCTCCTTAAAATTCAAATTTTATTAATTGCTTCCTTTCTAATTAATTTTCTTTCAATTTCAACTTCAAATTATCTTTTCAATTTTCTTATAAAAGAAAATCCAAAAAAAATATTTAGAATTGTTTTTAATTTATTTGCAAAGTAATTTTTAAATTTGAAAAAAAAAACCCTTTTTAATAGCAATTTTATTTTTAGTTAATTTAGGGCCTAGTTAATTTTTGGCTCCAATAAGAAAACAACTTTGGTTTGTATTACCATATTGCATTCTAAATCATATTTAATTTGACCTAAGACGACATTGAGGATCAAACATAAAATATAAATTAAATCATTGTTAAAATCCATATTAACCTATTTTTTTTAAAAAATATAACTGAATAAATTATTGTCCAAAACTAAATAAACCAAATCATTTTATGAAATTTAATTTCAAAATGATAATGGTAACTAAATATTTGAAATATTATTAACAATGTGAAAAAGATTAATAATATTAACATTATATAAAAAATTTAAAAACAAAAAAAAATACAAAAGAACCTAAAATGGGCTGGCCTATTTAGACTTGTTTTTATTTGAAGGAAAAAATTTTAAGTCTGGCCCTCACAATTTTTGGGCCTAAACTTGGCTCATTCTTCTAGCTCTATGTGGGACTCATAACAATATGAGAGCACCAATATAATGAATATAAGCTAAAAGGAGAGCCAATCTCAAAAAACTAGGTTATTAAGAAGGAGAGTCCCTTAAACTTATAAACTATATAATACTTGTGAGATTTTTCAATGTGAGACTCAACATAGTACTAATTGCATACCGTATCTTATGTTGTAGATGTGCTGCGAAGGTGGCCTATAGTTTAAATCCATTTGCCCTTTTAATCACTGATTAAAACCTCCGAATTTACTTATCTGAATTAACTTAACCATATGATTTGACATATGATTTGATATTGTTTTTATTTGATAAGACGTGGCTTGATGACGGATTAAACCTCGGTCCACATATTGTTTTGATTTTTCAAATAACAATAATGTCTTTGATGAACTATTACGAAGTTTGAAAATGCATGTTATTGGGTAATATAATTGTCATAAAAGATATATTCAAAAGCGAATGCATTATTTGCTCTCACAGAATGCAATAATATTAATAAAACAAGATGCTCCATCACATGGAATCCACAATAGATGATTCTTCATTTCCCAGTTTGACACCTAAAGAGGAATTCACCATGAAGATAGGGTTATTTCATATATGACTCAGAAGTTTAGATCATATAAGCCTGCATTAGAACAAACTGGTTAAACGAACGGCATAAATTATACTTTGCCCATTGCATCTTTAATTAATTATTTTTTTAATATTTGTTATCGAATGTAAAAATAAAAAGATATTTTTATTACCATTCTCCGTCGTCACTAGTGGATATATGAGATGTTTCAACGTGCCAAAAATGAATTTAAGACTTCAAGCCATGTTTCTCCAGCTTTTCTTGAGTTATAGCATTAAGTCTTTTGACCATGTCAATCGAAAGATGATTCTTCCAATCACCCACTTCTCCACGTCGGAAAAAGAGCTTATTCTCTAACCCAAACACTGTACTTCCAGTTCTATTCACTTCTAGACTGCTCAAATTCTCAAAATCACAAAGCTTTAATAAATTTCCCACAACGTCACCATTTTCTTCCTCTTGAGAAATGCCATACCCGATAAAGTCAGCTAGTTGCTTCAAAGTCTTAACTGGACCTTCCTTCAACTCCTCAAATCTCAAGAATAATATCTTCCATGGCCGCTCTGAGCTTTCCTTGTAGTACCCCAACATGTGGTCCCAAAATGGCCCATAAATGCTCACTTCTCGACAAAACTCCTCACAGGAATCCTCCACTGAGTGGGGCCCCTGGGTTTCTGGTTTTAGTTTACCCAGGAAATGCCACAACCACAACGAGACAAATAGGTCGTTAGGGTTTCCACACAAGTACACTATCTTACACCTCGATTGCTTCATGGACTCTGGCAACGAAACATATGGGATATGAGAAGAGAAGATCCTAGGCGACGGAAATGAATTCAGATTTGATGTGTTTTCATGTTGTAGGAGGACTTCCAAGAAGGGAACAAGACTATGAGGGTTAGTATTGAGGATGGAGCATATTGGATCACGTGTGTTGCGGTTGATGATGGCAAAAACGAGGGCTTTAAGCCTTGTAGTGCCAGATTTTGGTGAAGTAGCGAGGAGGATATCAGAGTCACGAGCCTGGAATTGGTTTTGGCATTTGAGGACTCCTTGCATTAGTACCTTAGGAAACCAGAAACCTTGGTACTCCTCCAGTCCTTAATATAAGACCCATTTAACTAATTTGATTAGATTAAGGAAGTTAGGTAAGTTAGTTAATCATAAGAAATGTGACATATTTTTCCTAAAACACCATAATCATCTTTTTTAATACCCCATCTCCCTCTTCTTTGATTATAGTCGAGGGAGTATCCATAGGGGTAATTTAGAGAAAGTTGATAAATATGATAAATGGGTTTTATATTTAGGACCAAAACCAACTTAACAATTGGGTCTTATATTAAGGACCGGAGGAGTATTAACATAGCTGGCTTTCAAACCTATCCGATTTTGTGGCCTGGGTAGGGTGGCAATGAGATCTTGGAAGTCTTGGTGTAGGTCTCCACCAGCTTCTTCGTACTTCTTGGGAACAACAGTCAGATCAGAGGCTCTAGGGTAGTTTTCTGCAGTCATGGTAGTGCAGGATGCATATATTAGAGAAAATTAAACAATGAGCTTTATAGAGACCTTTTGAGAGGGCAACAACACTATTGTTGAGGGATCGAGAAGTTACTGCTCAAAAATGTGGGCCATCTCCATTTTATTCTGTTCATGAAATTGGCAAAAATGCATTTTAGGGGCGACAAATATCACTGCAGAAAGTGTTTTTCAGTGGTTATAAAAAAGTCACTACTAAAAATGTCTTTTAGTAGGGACAATATGTTGTTGCTAAAAGTAACATTAGAGAAAAAACAAGCCTCATTGTCGGCCACCATGTCATCACTGATCGGTTGGCACATTGCCGCATCTCCACTCTCACAATATCATCTTTAAAGTCTGAACTCATGACCACTTTCTTATATGTCCAATCTTCTGAACTAGATTGAATTATTATTATTATTATTATAGAATAAAATATATGTTATTAAATTATACTTTCAATGATGACTTTCTAAAGTCGCCGAAAGTGAGGCTTCTAGATTTTCTAACCCAATTCAATTAATTAGACTAAAAGAAAATGATAATAGTGTAATTAATAAGTTTATTTACTTAACCAAGGTATATAGGAAATCCACAAGAACAATAACCGGCACTTAATCCACCAGAAAACTCATTGTCCAAATGTTAAACTATGAACTAGGCTTCTCAAATTCATTAAAACCAATGACCATAAACTCAAATCAATTCTAAAGATTATACTTAGAATTATCTAATTAAAGACAATTTACCAACTCAATTGAGCAATCAATATATATATATATATATATATATATAAACAACCCAAATTTGCAACATGCACTACATTGACAATTACATTAACAATGGGAACTCAATTATCAATCCAATTGACAATGCAAAGTTTTAACCATGAGTACAAATGGAAAATCATCGCGACCACAATAACATTCGGAACCAAATTTCACGATAACATGAATCCACCAATGTCAAATCATTTTCATTTTCTTCCATCTACCCTAAAATATTTTTTTAGATATGTCCAACTTCCTGAAATATTTTTTGGTGCATCTAACACTAAGGCAAAAAAAAAAAAAGAAATTTTTTTAGAGTATTGGACACACCTACTAAAATACTTTAGGGTAGTAGATGCATCACGAAATACTTTAGAGTACTGGATACATCCGTAAAAATATTTCAAGGTGCCAGACACTTTAATCCTTTTATTTTGAGACTTTGAGATAGTAAATTTTGCTATTTTGCCCTTCTTTATATAGGTACTAACACTACTAGAGAAATTCTAAAAAGGAAGAGTCTAAAAAACAAAATCTTTGAATTTTAAAATTCTAAATCGGTCTTGTTCACTACACTTTAATAACAATTAACAACATTTGAAAAGTAAATGAGGACACATTTTTATAGTCATTCCTGATTTAGAATTTTAAACTTTTAGAGGTTTTTTCTTCTTTTGAAATTCTCCCTTCTAAAAACTAGTCCTTAATGCTACAAGGATTTGCTACCTTCTAAAAATTTCTTGATTTATAAAATAATTTTTTGAAAATTTTCAGGCTAAAAATTAATCTTTAACTATTTTTTAATTAAATTTACAAAAACAGGCCCTTAATTCTTATAAATTAACTTTAAAATTATTTAGGCTACTTTTTGAGAAATTAAACCTCTTCATAAATCTTCTAAATCTCCAAAAATAACATCTCATATTATTTCCTCAATTTTTCTAGGCCTTAAAATAAATTATTCTTCTCCTTTATTATATTTTCTTAATTTAACCCAAACATAAACTTTATAGGTATTAGGGAAATAAAGGAGAACAATAATTGCCCAAGAGCAATAAGATGTGCTATGCGAAGGTAGCCTAGTTTAAATCCATTTGCCAACCTCTAATTGAAGGCGACTTCACTCATATGAATTAACCATATCACTACTACAAAAAAAATCATTTACATCTGTTCTGGAGGCTTTTTTTCTTCTGTTTCAAAAGAAATGTTAACACAGGAGACGTAAATAGTATATATATATTCTTCTGTTAAAAACAGATGAATATTTCAACTTATACTCATTTGTTCCTGACAAGTATGATGGGATCATACTCGTCTGCTCCCTTGGGAAAGACGAGTATGGTGATTCATACTCGTCTTTCCCATTAGAACAGACGAGTCTGAGTTGAAAACATGCGAATATATTATTTTTTTAAAAAATAAATTTTTTTAATTTGTATATACCACTAGTTTTTATTTGAACTCTGCAATTGAAATTGAACCAAAACAGACTACAACAATAGCAACAATTTAGCAAAGGCTCATCCATTGTAGTTTCCATATGAATAGTATCCTAATGACATCCTAAACAATAACTTATGAAAATAACATTTTGATTAACTTAGTTAAGCCAAAAAAAAAAAAAAACTAAACTCCCTAATATAATCATATAGCACAAGTAACTTTAACCTAAACATATATGTGCCTTTTAACCTCATGTATTATTTTGAGAGAAAAACTCCTGAACAAATTGTCTTGCCAAATGATCTCAAACAGCATCAATCTTTTCATTAGTGTAAGAGCTTTCATCATAAAAAATCTATAAGTTTATAAATAAAAAAAATTTCATTTAATCAAGATAAGATTAAACTATTGTTCCTACTATGAGAATATAATTATACAACTCACCAATTTATCCAGTCTAACCATTGTTCTTGGCTCAAATTCATAACTCATACACACAAAAGCATTTCATCAAACACCTTAAGTGCAACAATAAAATCTCAAGAAATAATCTTTCATCATAACTCATGGCTACTGATTCTAACAAGTTAGATAGTAACAAATAAACCACTAGTCACACCTATTCAATCTCAAATTCTCAGATTATAACAATTGACATTTCATCAACACTTAAAATGCAACAATAAAATCTCCAAAATTCATCTTCAATCACATAAACTATTGATTCTAACAAGTCTAGAGTAACAAAACAACTTATAAACAACCTTTAATCATGCCTATGTAAAGGAGAGTCAAGCTAACCATGAGCTAGAAGACCCACAAGCTACCCACGGCAATAATGCAGCACTAACCAACAATGGTGAGCTGAGGGGCAGAGGTAAAATGGCTAGCTGAGGGCGAGAGAACAACACGAGCAGAGGGAGAAGAGCTGATGGCGATGCGAGCTGAGGGACTGAGCTGAGGATGACCATGACATGAGCTGAGGGGAAGAGAACACGGGGGAGTAAGCTGAGGGGGAGACCTGATGGTGATGCGAGCCAGGGGACACGAGCTGACGGTGATGTGAGCTGCGGATGACGGCAACATGAGTTGAGGGGGAGAGAACGCGGGGGATATATTGCAAGCTGAGAGAGTGAGAGACAGCGAGTTGAGGGAGCAAGGAAAGGGGGAGAGATCGCGAGTCAAGGGAAGAAGGAGCTGTGAACTGGTTTTTATTAAAAATTTTTTAAAAAACAAGGCCTCATACTCATTTGTTGGCCCAAAACAGACGAGGATGGGGTTTTTATTGAAATTTTTTTCAAAAATGATGCCTCATACTCGTTTGTTGACCCAGAACAGACGAGTATGATGTCCCGTACTCGTCTGGTTTAGCTTAACGTATGAGTATAAGGTACTTCTCTATTCTCAATTTCAGACAAAAATAGGGGACAAAAATAGACTTTGTTTTTCATAGTAGTAGTTTATATATCGACATATGCAACACCTTACCTCTATATATACTAACAGGGTCCATTTAACATCTGTGAATCACTAGACACCAGTGTTCTATTATAAAAATGGCAAATTTTTTTTTTTAAATGAATACACTGACGAGTGATTCACACACTGGAACCCTGCTCCTGCAGATCGTACGACAGACGCACAGATTTAAAATGATACTACATTTATATAAGTAGTTATACTGGCCATTCAGGACAATGACCTTTACCTGAGCACTTGAAGTGCACACCTCCTTATGGAGGATACAAAATAGCATAAACACTAGCAAGTAGAGGTTACTTGCTCTTAAAAATCTAATAAGTCAGACAATTAACTAGCAAAATAATTATCCTGCAGATACAAAAGCAGCAAAGCAGCAGGCATTCCTGCTCTTCATATAATCCCACCTTCAGCTCTTATGACTTCCTTATCCTTGGAGCTGCTTGCCCTGGCTGTATAATATAGGAAGGGAGGGTGAGATTCGAACGAATCTCCGTAGTAGTAATTTCCATCAAACACATATGCAAATCACATAAAGCATTCAAAACAAGCCATATGGAACATAACCTTGCAAGCTAATGTGATTAAGTATTTATGCGCAATGACAGATAGACAAGCTAATTAAATAATGTGCAAATAATTGGCAGATACTGCCCCATGTCTATCAGCTACACGTGATCACGACTGAATAATCCATGCAAGGAAATAAGGATTACATGTTCTCATGCTTTAAACAGCAATATGGCACAAACAGAAATGCAGTAATCATACACAAGTGTAAGGTAGGAAAGAAAAGGTAGGAAAGAACTACTACCTGAGCCTTCCGCTTCAAAATCAAACCTTACTTGCTTCTTTTCTTTTAGCTTCCTCGGTAGGCTTTTGCAGATATCAAAACCTATTATATTAGTAAGGGTAGGTTAAGGCTTGGTCCAACTATAATTCATAAATTAAATAACTCTCTTTAAATCCCAATCTCTTTCAATCTCTACCCTTATATAGTAGTTGATCATCCTCGACAATTTTTCTTATTTAAACTATTCTCTTTGGAGGGTTTTCTTTATCTTAACTCATACAGTTACTTTACTTAGTAATTAGTCATCTTGGTCAAATAGCATTATTTTATCTAATATAGTTAAGGACGTTAAGGCGTCCTTCTCATGTCCCACTTGATAACACTTTTAATCTTGAACAATGTCTTAACACTTGTAAGCATATTCCAACAGTTTTAAATACTTGCTCAAAATTCCAAGTTTTGACTAATGAGTTCCTCCTATCTATTGACTCTATATTTGAACTTCC